TCTGACACTTTAGGCCTGGATATGAAACTGAGGCGGTTCTCTTAACCCTTTAAAGCCTGATCCAAGAATAAAACAAAACAGAGTTTGAAGTCTTTATTTGGCCTTTTAACAAAATATATAAAAAAAAAAAACAAATACATTTTTTATTTTATTACTATGCGATAAGTCAAGATTATTTTTTGTGTAGTCTTCTGCCCCCTGTTGTCAGGTGTATCTAATTGTGTAAATTAGGATTTTGAGCAAAGTTTTTACCATTAAATAATGCAAAAGGTGTCAGACGCAAAACATTTCAGAAACCGTGTGTATCAAATATGATACATTTGGCCTTACTGGGTTAAAACCGCTGTGAATAAACCCTTGTTTCTGCCCCCCCCCCCCCTTTCTCTCTCAGGGTACCCGGTTCTGGCCCCGGCTGCCTACTACGACCAGACGGGGGCCCTGGTGGTGAACACCGGGGCCCGGAGCGGCCCTGTCCGCCTCATGGCCCCCGCCTCCGTCATCATATCTCCCTCTGCGGCACAAGCAGGTAACGGCCACTCGCTCTGGGTCAAACCCACCCGAACGCTCCCCAAACAGCCTCTGAAACGTCTGTCCAACCAGAACCGGGCAGGAGGTTACAGAGATGTGCTTAGATTAATGCCAGAGGTTCCCATGAGCCTCTGTGGGTCCTTGCTGGAGTTTTCTAATCATACAGTATAACCTCTATAGAGGAATTTAACTGGTTCCAGGACCAACTTCGTATGTTAAAATATTTCTATGTTGGTTCAAATATTCCCATCAGAATACACTGTAATTCCTATAATTCGTTCCACAGCCCAGAAACCTACGATAACTCCTTAATAAATACTGCAAATAATTACACAATAAAATGCAATAAAACAAATGCATTAAATAAGAAAGATGTAAAAAGAAATGAATTATAAATAAATAATCAATAAAAAGGGGTTTTATTGGCACTTATTGGCGAACTGAGGTAGAGACTAGCTCATTTATTTTTATGAAATTTTTATATTGTATAATTTTTTTCTATGACTTCGTCATAGGTCATATGTAAGAAATTTACTTATGAAATTGAGTCGAATATTTGATTGAATTTCACTTTCGATGTTCGTATTCGTCTGTTTAGGCATCGTAAGTCGAGGTTCTGCTGTACTTTAGACGCCCTCCGAGTGTCTGTGTAGCGAACAGTATTTGACCCCTTGCTGATTTTGCGGGTTTGCCCAATTACAAAGAATGCAACGATCTATAACTTTAATCATATGTACATTCTAACAGTGAAAGACAGAATCCCAAAGAAAATTCCAGAAAATCACATCATATGAATTTATGAAAATTGATAACCGAGGAAAAATAAGCATTTACTTTGGAAATCGAGTCGAATATTTGATTGAATTTCACTTTGCATGTTCGTATTTGTCTGTTTAGGCGTCGTAAGTCGGGGTTCTGCTGTACTTTAGACGCCCTCCGAGTGTCTGTGTAACGGGTTTCTCTCCTGTTCCAGTGGCGGCCGCGGCGGCCTCTGCGGGCGGGGCCAACGGCGGCCTGGGGGGCGGGGCTAACGGCCCGTTCCGGGCCATGGCCTCCCAGCAGGCGCAGCAGCAGGGCGGGCCCGGCGGCGCGCTGGGGGGAAGCTCCTTCTACGGATCCTCCTCCCTCAGCTCCTCCTCCCAGAGCTCCTCGCTGTTCTCCCAGGGCTCCGGCCAGCCCGGGCCGGGGTCGGCCTCGCTGGGCTTCAGCCAGCCCGCCTCCTCCTCCCTGGGCGCCACGCTGGGCGCCACGCTGGGGGGTTTCGGCACCGCAGGTGGGAATCCACACGGTCGGGTCCACAAACTTTAGGGATGGGACGGTTTCTGAAAACCGTCCGAACCGTTGGGTTGGACTGTCTCGGTTCGGTTCGCGTGTGTTGCGTTCGGTTCATGCTGCTCCTTTTTCTCAGAGGGAAGCGTTTACACTCCAGAGCAGAAGGGGGCGCTACTGCGCCCAAAGCCAACCCCCAGTAGGAAACGAGAAGAAGAAGAAGCGGCGTAGCCGATAAAAATCCGACGCGCAGACAGCAGTTTCTAGGTCTGCTGTATGGACCACTTTGCATTTAGAGGGAAGCACATGTTGGAATTAGCACTGTTTCCTCTCTTGCAATGCCAGAATCTGACCTACTTTTAACCCAAGACTGTCACAATGATGTATCAAATGTTAGACTGCTTTTTTCTTTCAGTTTTAATCTGACTATACAAGACATAATAGATTTTCCTAACAATCAACATATACCGAACCGAACCGAAAACCGTGACCACGAGACCGTGAATCGAACCGAACCGTGGATTTTGTGAACCGTCCCACCCCTAACAAACTTAGCCGGGCCCGAAACTTTGCCAGCAGTTTTACCGAGCAAGGAAGTTGATGTTGTAGTCAAACCTCCATCTTTGTCGCCCTCTAGTGGCCAACTCAAGTGGCGGCAGCGGCTCCAGGAGGGACTCCCTGACGGGCAACAGCGAGCTGTACAAGCGCACCCCCTCCAGCCTCACCCCCATCGGCCACGGGGGATTTTACAACGGGACGCTGGGCTTCAGCCCGTCCCCCGGCCCCGTGGGCATGCCCCTCCCCAACCAGGGGCCCTCGCACTCCCTCACCCCCCCGCCCTCCCTGTCCAATCACAGCTCCTCATCCAACCTAAATCTGGGTAAGCCTATTATGAAAACACACACTAATCAACGAGTACCATTTTCTGCTCTAAAGGACTAAAATGTAAACTGTGTGAATGTTTAGATTCAGTGATGACGGATCAGAGCTCAGTCCAAAAGTATTCCCAAGAAGTCCCAAAAAGCTAAAAAGTTTTGTTTTAAAGTCTCTAAACTCGCCGCTGTGTTGGGCAGCTGTTTTCTGTTTGTGGGAACATTTACATCCTGTCAGATTGGGCTCAGTAAACCCACAGAGCAGCCGGAGCCTCTTCTGAAGCCCCGGAGGCAGATCCTCGGATCTGGGATGGTAGTTCTGTCATATCTGAGCAGATCTGGATATAGGACACATGTTTGAATGAGAATTTGGTTGAGAATTTTATTTCTGCCGTGATTAGTCGACAAAATCGACTCTGAAAATTAGTCAGATATTTTGACTGACTATTTTTTTTGTCAGCCTGTTTATGGCATATTTATTTTTGGTCTGAGCTCCACAACACTAGTTTAGCTGGCAAACCTTTTCCTCTCCTGTCACGAGCTTCTGTTGCTGTTCTGTTGGTTCTGGTTTTGAGCACACACACACAAATAAATACACAAATGTGTGTGTGTGTGTCGGGTCTTGAGCCTGATATGAAGAGGAGACGGAGACGTCTACTAAAAGACCAAAAGTATTGGAATACTTTCGGGCAGCTGGCTTCAGACTTTCCTGGCTTATTTGTTGTAACTGGAAGTTAAATAAGGATTATCTGAGAATATAGTTGTTTTGGAGTATTCAACATTTAGTTTATTTATGTTTTGTTGACTTTTAACACACAGGGGGCATTTTATGTTTTGGCCCTTGAGTTGCAAAATAAAAAAATAAAAAGACCTCAAATGATATATTAGTCCCTTGATTGTTAAATGTTTTTGTAACCATTTACAGGAGGCCTGACCAATGGCAGCGGCCGCTTCATCTCCGCGGCTCCGGGCGCCGAGGCCAAGTACCGAAACGCCGCCAGCTCGGGCTCCTCCCTCTTCTCTCCCAGCAGCCAGCTGTTCCCGTCGTCACGGTTACGCTACGGCATGTCGGACGTGATGCCGTCGGGCCGCAGCCGCCTGCTGGAGGACTTCAGGAACAACCGCTACCCCAACCTGCAGCTGCGGGACATCGCCGGCCACATCATGGAGTTCAGCCAGGACCAGCACGGCAGCAGGTAGCACCCCCCGTTTATGACCGCGCCCTGTTCAGGGAACGACGGACATCTGGGCGCCCAGCTGGGCTGAACGGGGACGTCCCGATCCAGCTTTTATCACTTCCGATCAGATCCCGGCCTATCAGAGCATGTGTTAAAGTTTAAGGTTATTTATCTACTTGCTTAGTTGTCAGACTCATGTTGAACAGGGATTTATTCTGATAACTTAATGGTTGGGACACAGACCTGTGGGTTAGGAGATGCTGATGCTCGTGTGGGATTGGACTTTTAAAAAAATCTGGATCTTGAGTCTGGATCTGCCTTTTCTCCTGCCGGACGATACTCATTTTTCCCCCCCTAATATCGTGCCGCGATTAGTCGACAAAATCGACGATGAAAATTCGGCAGATATTTTTTTCGTCTGACTATTTTCTGTTGTCAGGCTGTTTATGGCATATTCATTTTTGGTCTGAGTTCAGGTGATTCCGCTCCACAACACTAGTTTAGCTGGCAAACCTTTTCCTCTCCTGTCACGAGCTTCTGTTGCGGTTGGTTCTGGTTTTGAGCACGCACACACACACACACACACAAATACATACACACACATACACACACACTCACACAAGGACGGAGACGTCTACTAGAAGACCAAAAGTATGGGAATACTTTCGGGCAGCTGGTGTCAGACTTCGCTCGCTTATTTGTTGTAACTGGGAGTTAAATAAGGACCTAATGGAGTCTGGATCTGCATTTTCTCCTGCCGGCCGATATGCTTTTTTTCCCTCCAAATATCGAATCGGGACAAGCCTATCCTCCAGTTGAGGGTTTACGCTCATAGCAGGAGGTTTTATACCGCTGGCTATATGGATAAAAAGCTCAAGAGTAGCCCATTTTTCTTCAGTGGACAACAAACAAGTATCCATTTTTTTTATCACATATGTGAAACTGTTGGATACTTTAGATTTGATCCCTTAGTGTTACTTACTGCTTTGTTTTTTAATGTACTGTTAAAGTGTACTAACTGTTTCTATGTATTTCTAAGTGGCTTTTGCCTCATTTACTACTAAGGATGTCCCAATCCAGCTTTTTGCTTTTCCGATCCGATACCTATCCGATACGGATCCCGGCCTATCAGAGCATGTATTAAAGTTTAAAGTTATTTATCTACTTACTTAGCTGTCAGACTCATGTTGAACAGGGATTTACTCTGATAACGACTTATTGGTTTGGACACAGACCTGTGGGTATCTGAGCGTCTTTTTTCTTCCTAAACTCATTGAAAAACCTTGTGACCTCGACATCTATGGGCCCGTTTTCATGCCGCGCAGAAGTTTGGACTCTTTTGTCCCGTCTCAAAACCAGCTTTACTCTTTGCTCTTAAACAGTTTTTTTTTTTTTTTTTTAAGGATTCTCTCACTTTTGACCCCCAACAATCATCAGTCTGGTATCGATCTGTGTGCTGTGCAGAGGCCTTCAGGCACCAATGGGAAACTAGTAACTTCCCTCTGTCTTTTGAATGCTACAATCCAGCTGGATTGTCTTTGGTTTTATTGGCTGAAAACGGTTGGTTAGCCCTGTTTTTATGTTCCTGCTGGTTGAGCAAACAGATCAGCTCGCTGAGTTTTGGATGCTCGACCTGTATTTGTCCTAATAATGGCGTTAATCTGCTGTTTTAGCCCCTGTGGGGGGTCTGGTCGTGCCTCTGATGCAGACTTCTGCTTTGATGTGATCTATTTATACATTAATGCGTCCACTCTGCACATTCCAGGCTGTTTTTTTCCTCCAGGCTCCTTTTTTATCTGAGCCTGGCATCCATCACTTCGGCTGACAGTTTCCTTTTCGTGCCTTTTCCCTCCTCTAGTCTGACGGCTCCCTCAGGTTCGACTTATCGGAGAACTTTTTGTCGCTTTGTATTTCTTTGTGTTTTCGTTAGTCTGTCGTCGCTTCTAAACTTTAGAAATCCCCTCTCGGTCCAAAGTGGGTTTTAGTCGAGTTCTTTGCCTTCAAATGTTTTTTTTAAATGCAAATTGGTTGGAAAAAAAATCTTTTTCTCATGAATTGTTATTCTCTCTCTCTTTTTTAAAGGTTCATCCAGTTGAAATTGGAGCGAGCGAGTTCAGCCGAGCGCCAGCTCGTCTTCAGTGAGATCCTGCAGGCGGCCTACCAGCTCATGGTGGATGTCTTTGGAAATTACGTCATCCAGAAGTTCTTTGAGGTGAATACGAGTCTGTGCTTTGTGTGGTTTAGGAGGCAGATGCTGAATTGGTGTGGAAAATGTGGAAATCTATTATTCCTCAATAATTCCTACTATTATTCCTCATTATTCTATTATTCCTTAATAATTCCTTCTATTATTCCTTATTTCTTCCATTATTCCGTATTCTATTTTTCCTAATTTCTTTTATTACTCCCGATTATTTCTTAATAATTCCATCTATTATTCCTTATTTTGTTTTTTACTTATTTCTTCTATCATTTGTTTTTCTATTTTTCATTATTTCTTTTATTATTCCTTATTATTTCTTATTTTTTTCCTTATTTCTTTTTTCCTAATTTCTTCTATTATTTCCTTATTTCTTCTATTTTTCCTTATTTTTTTTATTTTTTTCCTCATTTCTTCTATTTTTCCTCATTCTTTCTCTTATTCCTCCCCTGTTTTGCTTCCTCTCGGTGCTGTGTTCTGTTTGCTTGTCTGAGGGCTCGGAGGTCTGAGCGCTGTGCTTTGTCCTCTTTAGTTTGGGAGCCTGGACCAGAAGCTGGCTCTGGCCGAGCGGATCCGGGGCCACGTTTTGTCTCTGGCCCTGCAGATGTACGGCTGCAGGGTCATCCAGAAGGCCCTGGAGTTCATCCCCTCCGACCAGCAGGTCATCGTAAGTGCGGCCGGACTTGAAGCATGTTTTATTTATTTATTTATTTGTTTATTTGACAGGGACAGTACAATTAAACATTGCAACTAAACAGGTGGCCGATGTCCAAGTGCATCAGGCTTGTGAACGGTTTGCGCCTGAATCAGCCTCGTCATACCCTGCTGGGTTTTATTTATTCATTCATGGTTAAAATGGGGCCATGTGAGCTTCATTAGCGGTGAGCATAGATCAGAAAAGCTGTGCTGCTGCCTCTGAGATGGCGTTTGTCACCTTCAGTATGTTGGAGGCCAACGATAAACCCATTAATATGCAAATGGTGAGATAATGGTAGTAAGATGAATCCAGATGAATATCAACGGGAAGTACAGTAGAAAATATTCCTTTGTTGGTTCTAATATTCCCATCAGAATACACTGTAATTCCTATAATTCGGTCCAAATCCCAAAAACCTACGATAACTGCTTAATAAATACTGCAGATAATCACACATAGCAATAAACCAAATGCATTATATAAGAGAAATGTAAAAATAAATAAATTATAAAGAAATAATCAATAAAAAGTTTTTTTTTTTATTGGCAGGTAGAGACAGAGATACAGAACGTACCCTAACTTACTCTAACTTTCTCTACCTGAACTTTAAACTAACTTAGCTTATTCCTTTTTATTTCATTTTTATATTTAATTATATAGTTTTTCGATTATTTTGACGTCATATGTATGTTGGAAATTTACTTCGGAGGTCGAGTCGAATATTTGATCGAATCTAATTTCGTATGTTGGAAAATCCGTATGTTTAGGCATCGCAAGCTGATGTTCTGCTGTAATGTGCTTAAATTGTTTGTTTCTGAACCCCTTTTTTGTGCGATAGAGTAAAAGTTCCTCCTGTTTTCTTAATGGTCTCTAGTAGATTTCCCAACAGGGCATCTGTTGGGAAATTTACCTGTTTAGCCACAGTCAGAGCTTCAAATCTCTGCCCCCCC